GAAAAAACACACACACACACACACACACACACACACACACACACACACACACACACAGGCTTCTATACTGCAATTAATGGTCTCTTACTGCCAGCATGAAGCATGGTTAGTCTAATCAAGAAAAGAATTAAAATGTTAAAGTGTGATTGTTTTAAAGGGGGTTGTTTTCGTTTTTCTCTTCTTCAGGTTCTTGTTTCTGTGAAAATGTATTCTTCTAGCTGTTCCAACCTGAAAGACCCTTTCCTTCCTTCTGGAAAAGTCAATATTATACCTAATATTTTAGAACTGCATCCTATTTTCTAATCTTGCTTAATCCATAACTTTCAAATGTAATGAATTAGAAACAATCATTTATAAGGTGATCTTGAAAACACTTTCTAGTGGGGGAAAAAGTTATTTCCAATAATATATTTTCACATTAACACAAATCTAATTAACCCATGGTGTAGGACAAAGAACAGGAGGAATAAAAAGTACTGTATTTTGGCTCCTACTAATAAGAGGTATTATTAGGTAGCACTCTCAAAGATGGAAAAAGAATAAAACACTAGACCCCCAAACACCTAAAACCTGAGTTGAATTCCGCCTCAGCTTTGTAATATTGGACAAATAACTTTACTTCCCTGAGCCTCCTAGGCCTCATCCATAACACGGGAATGATGCTTGCATCCCAGGGGTGATACTTCAAGGACAACACATAGGTTAACAAGTTCACCAGGGGGCCGTACATGCATGATCATCCCATTGGGTGACTTGTACCACCCAATGGAACTGTCCCGTGTTGCCTGGTGGGTGGTCATGCATGTACCACCAATATTTTAAGGTGATGGGAATGTGATAAGAGCCAAGTTAGGCTGGACTCTGGCTCTGCCATTTATGTGCAGAGACTTGGGGCAGTCATTTACATTCTCCATGCATCAATTTCCCAGTCTATAAAATGAGAATAAGACACTTGTCCTAGAATTGTGTCTATTCTGTTGGGTTGAGTTGATGTGTATCCTTGGCAAATGGTAAACACCATAAAAGGGTTAGTTACTGCTATTGCTATTATTATTAGGTGCCTTAGTTACTTTTCTCATTACTGAGACAAAATACTCAATAGCTAAAGTTAAAGGAGGTAAGGTTTCTTTTAACTCACAGTTTGTGGAGGTTTCAGTCCACAGTCCATAGTCCACTGGCTCCAAGGCAGAGGGGCACGGCAGAGGGGCATGGCTGAGAACAGTCCATGGTGAGGCAGACAGGAAGCAGCGAGCAGCAGTCCTATGTCGAGAGCTATTCTACATAAAATTTTGGGAAAAATCATTTCGTGATTAAAGTATGACTACAGCAGTCTAAGGCCCAAAGTCACCTTGCCCATGAGCCGGCTATGGCATGAGGAAACATTACTCATTTTGCCTCCAGTCACAAGCTGAGGCCTCAATGGTCCCACGATGCTGTGCCGCTCAAGGGCAAGTGCACAGCAGCTAAAGACATCTGGTTCTTCGAGAACTGAGTGATAATAAAAAAAGAAAGTTTTCACCCAAGGGAAGGACAAGTTTTTTATTAGTCTGCTATCTTGGCCCACCTACTGTTGAAAGAATGCTCTCCTTATCACCTTCATCAACATAAAATCCTCATGGCCTAAGATCCTCATAAGCATAAGATCCTCATCAACATGGGATTATTAGGGCTGGAGATGTGGCTCAGTGTCACCGTGCCTGCCTGGCAAGTTCAAGGTCCTGAGTTCAATCCCCGGCACTGCCAAAAACAATATAGGATCATCACTGCCCCCAAAGTCACCTGATACTCCTTCCAATTATTGTGTGTACCCAATAAATAATGGCTATCTCGGAGTGTCTGTCTTTGCCTAGCCTGAGGCACTGACCCCCTGGCCCACCATGTACTTTGGAATTACACAAGTCTCTATATTACCTTTTCTTTCTTTAGCCCTTGCTGTCCCTCTTTCTAGGCAGCTGGAGAATTGACTGCCCTCCTCCTATAATCCTGCCTTCTTTTCTTAATATTCCATTTATATGCCATCCAGGCTACAAGGCTATTTGCTTGGTGCCACCCTCAGCTAGGAAGGACCTGCCTTTATCTACACTGAGAACCACGCTATACATCCTAGATTCAGCCACCTCTAAAAAGCCCCACCTATGAGTGCAGGAGGCTTTCGGGGGCCATCTAGATGCAAACAATAACATTAGGGATATTCCTCCTCCCTCCCCTGCTCTGTTTCAGGGCAGGGGATTGAATGGAATGGAAGGTGTCACACTTGCTAGGCAAGTGCTCCACCACTGAACCTCAAACCCCAGTCCTCTTGCTTCTTTCTAAACAAGAATAGCAAATTAGCATAAATTTAAAAATAAGTTATAGAGGACAGGCAGATAATAGTTACTCACCTAGGAAATCTTTTTGGACCGTGGTAATTTACCACTATCTATGGTAAACAAATCCCATTCCCCAGCTTGTATAAGTGAAGACATGGAGAAGGAAGGAGGAATGTTGAGCCAAAACCACAATTTCTGACGTGCCATTCATTTGGTTTAGAAAGAATGTCAAGCATTACCTATTTTAGGACAGGCAGATAATAGTTACTCACCTAGGAAATCTTTTTGGACCGTGGTAATTTACCACTATCTATGGTAAACAAATCCCATTCCCCAGCTTGTATAAGTGAAGACATGGAGAAGGAAGGAGGAATGTTGAGCCAAAACCACAATTTCTGACGTGCCATTCATTTGGTTTAGAAAGAATGTCAAGCATTACCTATTTTTCACCAGAAAGAAAACAAGCAACAAGTCTCTGCAGCCAGACATAGAAAGCATTGTGTTGAGGAATTGGAAAGGAGATCTCAGACATGCTTGGGCAAGATTATCATTCCACTGCCTTTTAATTACAATTACCATACTAAAAATAGTTGCATTGTATTCCATTCACTTATCATTGTTCAGTGGCCCCATTGGAGGAATATGAAAATATTTGATGCTTTGCAAATGCAGACAGCTGGAGGCTTCAACCCCTGTCTGAGGTCTGAAATAGAGCGAGAGCCTTCTGTATTCTTTTTCCCTGGTACAAAAAAAAAAAAAAAATTACTGTTTGTCAGCTCTACTTCTTTAATTCCTAGAATTAATCACGAGGCTGGGGAAGAAATTTTATTCGAGCAGTGAGGTTGCCAATTATTTTCGCTTTCGTCTTGGAAAGATTAATTCCTAAACATCGAGATGAACCAGGAGTCACGGCCAACCTTCCAGGGTGCCATTTGGCTGCCTGTGTTAGTGGGAAAGAGTGGGGGTGGAAATGAGGGCGAACTGCACAAGGAGAGCTGGTTCACTCTCATTTTCTGAAACCTGCTGAACTGCTGAAGAGTGAAGTCCCCACGACCAGGGCCTTCCTGGAAGAAATATATTTTCCTCAGTTGGACCCGGATGAGGCCTCTCAGTCCCAACAGTGACCTGCGAGGGTTGGCATGTGCTGTGACCATGCAGGGGCCCTGCTCTAGATGCTCACATGTGCCAGGGAGTCCTCCCCAGAGCACAGCTTCCAGCTAGAGAATCACTGAAAAACAGCCATGCTGCTAAGCACCACGAACTGGAAGTTATTTTGAATTTTATTTTTCTACAAATGTTTATTAGTACATGCTTGCAGCCCATCATGACTGCATTCATTGTGGGGAGCTGGTCCTTGTACGTAACCTATCTTATTTCTTTTTATTCCTCTTCCCTCTACCTCCTCTCCTCTCCCTCCATCTCTTGGTTCAGTTCACAATACAACTCTTGGTATTTTTCAGTTAGTGTACTGAGATCAAAAGGGGCTGCAAGGCCTAAAAGCAGATCCCCCTGGAATTTTCCAGGGATCACAGCCTAGCCAGGGCAAGTCATCTCAAAACCTGTCCAATCTGAGGGTGGATAACTGGTGACTTTAAGAAGAGAAACCAGAAAAACATAAAGTGGTGCCAGAAAACACATGCAGTGTTCTGGGACACTTGGCTCTCTTGGTTTCCTTTCAAAGTTATTATTGTTATTTTTATTATTATAAACAACTTTGCCGAAGGTTTATCCCATGACTTCTTCACTAACATGCAATCATTCAGGTATCTCTATGAATGCTTATAACTTTGTCCATATGCATGTGTCTTATTTACAAGACGTTGGTCACTCTGAGTATGACGGAGGTCTTATTTTTCATGCAACATTATTTATGACACTATTTTCTCTGATTTTTTTCTATATATTTATGGTCTAACTCCACCTTAACATTTTAAAAGATGGTGTAAAAAAGAAGAAAAAATTGAAAATAAAATAAAATTTAAAACACAAAAGATGACGTAGTATTTTACCTAGTGGGTATAAATTATTTTCCAAAGGAAAATTAATTTTCTCTTCTTTATTTTGAACTCTCTAACCCCCCCTCCAAAAATGAAAGCAAGAAAGACAAGAAAAGAGAATGAAACAAAGAAAGAGGAAGGAAGTAAGGAAGTCAACATTCACAACTCCACAACATTATAACTAAAGGTAAAGTTTGTTTCTTTTTATACCCTGTGAGGTGCCTTATTTGAACACACTGTCAACTTCATATGGAGCAATTAAATGTAAAAAGTTTGATAGTGGCACCTTTAAAAATTAGGTTAAAAATTATAGAACTGATGCAATTAATGAAAGGGAAAACTAAGCAAACTTTCTTTATTCTTTTGTCTCCTGGTTGATATGACTATGCAGAAATCCAATATGGCCAATTATGTCATTCCAGACTCTAGAATTCTAGCCTCAGTGGTTCCATTCGCAGTCTAGAGTCCCCCTGTCCCTTTTCTCCCTGGGGACGGAACACAGGGCCTCTTGCAGCTGAGCACTCTACCACTGAGCTACCTTCCCAGCTCTTTATTTTCTAGTCTGTGACACGGTCTCACTAAGTTGCCCAAGCTGACCTCAAGTGTGCAATCCTTCTGCCTCAGCCTTCTAAGTAGATGGGATTACCTCCATACACCACTGAGCTTGACATCATTTATTCTCTAATTTGACTAACGTTCGTCGCACATATACTATACGATAGAGGATATTCTCAAATATACCCTTTTCTTTATAGATCTCATTGCTGGGAGCACACCAAAACAGACAGAACCATAACAAGATATCAGGTAGTTGTCCATGCTAGAAAGAAAATTCGAGGACACAGGGGATGAAAGTGATACGGTGGGATGAATGGGGAAGCTGCTATTTTCGACAGAGGCCCAGAAAGTTTTCTCTGATGAAGGGTTAAGGGAAGGGATATGAATGCCAGGATCCTTTGTGTGGTCCAGAAGATGCCCCGTGTGTGGCCATACACGAAGTGAGGCTCACTTTACATCTCTACGTTGTTTTTTATTCACTCGTCCAAATAGTATTTGTTTCCGTGAATGTGCTACTACTCCGATAGCTACGGAAGATGTAAGAGTGGCCCCAAGAGGTGAGAGAGGTCCCGGGCCTCGAGACTGACTCTAAAGGAAGACACGGAATCACAAATGTGACAGTGTTCTGAAGGAGGAAGTCCAGGGTGCTGTCGTGGAGGATTTTTATGGCTGGGAGGTCAGGGGAGGCTTCCCTGAGGAAAAGAGCTTTGTGAAGCAGGTGTAAGCCAGATCGGTGTGGGCCAAGGCAGTGGGAAGGGAAATTTACAGGCAGAGGCAGTCTGCCTCTAACCTTGCTCTTGCTGATGACTTTCAACTTTGTCACCTTTGCAGTCTACCAAGCATTCAATTATGTTTCTCTGCTTCTCTCTGGCAGATGCATAAATGCATAATTCAGGAACACGCGAATAAAAGAAAATGCACAGCACGAGGGTTAATATTAATATTACAATGAAAACAAAACGATTCTCTTCATACTCAAGATCTGGATAGCTTTATCTAGAGGAAGTTTTACTGCCAATCAATCTTTTTGATAGCTGGACTGCCCTTTGAAACACAGAATTGACGTCATAAATTTCCCAAAGACCACATATCGAGCTGGTCTTTATAGTCATTTCTGGTTTTATATTAAACGCAAATGCATATACATTTTTGTGTTTTTAGCTGTGTGTTACATTTTTATTTTTATTGGTACATGTTTGCAGTACCTAATGATTCATCCCTCGTGGTATTGGTACATGTACACAGCATATCTTAATTCTCTTTTTACCACTCCCCCCAATCTCTTCATCCCCTTTCCTCTTGCAAAAGA